AAAAGCCTCGTTTTCATTCAAGTCCGGCTAATCTACTAACTTGGCTGAAGTAGTCCTGGTGGACATAATCGGTTTGTTTAGTACGGTAACAGGGTGTGGAATAATTAAGGCTAAAACAAAGAAACGTGGCAGTCCACGAATTCTCAGCTAGCGGGGAGAGATCATGACATGTCTTTGAAGGGCCAACCTGCTGATGAGGTTACTGAGAACTTCTTAGTCTGTGCTCGTATTCAGTGGAGAGAAAATATGTGAAATTCTCGTTTCTTTTGTCGCTCGCTCTGCTTCTTCGCTCGTCACTACAAACTAACTCTCTGGGAGAAGCTGAGATCTCCACAACTTACGAAGCGTTGTTGTTGTTGTTTCCCAGGCACCTCTGCGGCCCAAATGCAGATAGTGTGACGTCATATTGGATTCTGGCAGGCTTAACAGCCGCGCTTGTAGCAACCGCTGGAATAGTGGTGTTCAGATACCTGAGGAGAGGAGGCTCGACCACGTGACAAGAAATCCAGCGAATTAGGAATTGATACTGGCGAAGCATTAATTTTGCCATTGTATTGAACCTCGACGTTCATGATGTAAAGAGGTTCTAAACGAAAAAAACAAAAATACTCCAATTGTGGAAACTAGAGGATCAATCATAACAAAGTAGACATATTTTTATTTCAAATGGAATTGAAAAAGTTTCGTTTTTACTCATTATTATTGTTATTTAGGAGTGTTTGATGTGAACAATCTTTGTGAACCCCGTGATTTAGCTCGGTTAATTCCTGTGTTTGAAAGAAAATTAGGGTTGTTTGAATTTGTTATTTCTCTGCAGACAACTCTCATTAAGGAGTTCCTCCTTTTGTCCCGTATCTGTGTAATATCGTCAAACAACTTTTAAATGCCTGTTGTCCAGAAACGTAAAATAAAAACCATGAAAACATTTTCATTTGTTCATGAAAGTGCGGGACATTTTGTGACGGAACACGTAGAAATGTTCAGTTCTCGCTTTCTCAATCGCTTTTCCTCGCAGATCAGATCAGTAATTTTCTCTTATAGCTGGTATACATACCCTGGTGAGTCAGGCACGAGAATTTGGTGTCATATCAAGAGTACACCCTTAAGCTAGCAAGTTTGAAATGTTATTAATGAAACTGTAAGATGCACCTCTACCACCTTTTTAATAAGTTCCTAATGCTCTTTAAACTTTGTTTGCCTTGTGTTGTACAGTTCATGTAAGAAAAATGAAATTATAATATTTCTACGGTTCCGTTGCTTTGCAACTGATGATCATTCATAAAAAGTCCATAGAGTCCTAAATCAAACTCTTTTTGTCTAAAACTTTCTCCAAACTTTTCTTGCAAAGCGGCGTAGTTTTGCAGAATTGGTGCTGAACACGGCTGCTGTAGCAAAGCCTTGAGGTAACATGCCCTCCATTTTGTTGTCTTAGGCCATGAAAGATGGTTCACTACCACTTGATCAAATATTTTTTTCTCGCAGCTCTTGTGAATATCGAAAGCACATTTTTCAGGAAGCTGTTGTATTCCTAAACCAGAGACGAAAATTTCAAAAGCAAAAAAAATGAGAGACAAACTCGAGAGGGGGAAAGTGGCTGTCTTGATCCCAGGACAGAAGCGGTGGAATTGGAAGCGGGCTAAGTTACCTTGATCAAGACAGTTACAGTTGATCAAGCATTGATTACCGGTAAACTAGCCAGGAAAGAGGAATAAACGGTCAACTTCTCCTTTATAGGCCACCTTCGATTTCCTTTCCCCCCCCCCCCCTTATTTTTTCTTCAACAGTACAAGTAAGTCTCGAATTCACGCCCTCGACGCAGTCTACAAGTTTTCCGTTCAAACAGATCGAACACTGAATCAACGACGGATGGTATTCGTAACGAGTCGCGGTGTCAATGTGTGTGTCGACTGTCCCCCCCTGTCCCCGATTGAGTTGTTCGACAAAAGGTCGTTTCCTATTCTTGAGGGGGGGGGGGCACGTTCCTAAACAATAATAATAAAAAAGAATTATTAAGTAAAGTAAAACACATACCTGCAGGATACTCCTTGAACAGCGTCTGTGCAACGGCTGAAATATAACAGAAAACAGTCTGTTGTATAAGTCTTCTTAAACTTCATATATAACACTGGCTATACATGATGAGGACTTGTCTTACCTCTTAACGCGCCAGACACACAGGGTCATGAATATCTGGGTAATAAATGGACTTTTTATGGGTTTACTGACCGGAGTTTTGAATAGAATCCTGTAACTTTTGGAATGTGAGGTCAGGACACATCAGTACTTTATCCACTGTTGCAGACTTGAGGAGAAGAAATCGATCTTGGTCCAACAGGTTTCCTGAACCTTCGCTTTTTTCAAAACATGTTATCATTTTCTGTATCAAGAGGAACAATGAAAGTATTATATGAGCACGATCCTTCGCAGTAAAATACACCTGCGAAGGATCGTGCTCATATACGTCTCATAACCGCAGTTCACACATATGTTTCATATGTTTGTTGTTGAATGAAAGTATTGAAAGCAGTTTTGATCGTAGATAGAGAGAGATTGTACACAAGGTGAAAGTGTGGGAGATACAGTAACAGTTTAGTCATGTACTGACCAGAACAGGGTCTTTACCAAGTGGAGAGGGGAAATCGCTGTACTTATGACCAGCTCTGGATAGAAAAGTAATAATAGCTATCGGTAAGGCATCCTCATCCGCTCCTAAATTCTGATGATTTTCTCGGGCCTAACCCCAACTCCTTACATCCTGTTACGGCTATTGGAGAGTCCTGCTTCCAGCACGTGACTTTTACCAGCGGGTTAGGGATCTCTGGGTGTAAAACTTGTAAACCACGTGGGCCGAGAAAAAGTATATTTCAAATCGGACAGCAGATGCCGAGTGACCTTCGTCAGAGAATTTCTAATTTAAGTTATCAGCGAAATTTAATATTAGAAATAAATGTTACAGATTGATCCAATATTTTGAAAACTGACTGGTAGATTTTTTTAATTGTTGCAAATTATATCTTTGAACTTTGACTGGCTAAAGCCTTTTCTTTAGTCGTCGTGAGTAAAATTATCTTAATTACCGTAATCCTACCGAGTACAATCATTTATGAACAAGTGACCGTGTAAACGACCTCGGGCAACAGTAACCGCTCACCCTTCAGGAAAAAGCCATTGAGAAAAGTACATAGGAACATTTCAAAGCGTAAATCAATTGGACGCCATCTGCGGAAAATACACCTGTTTTTTTTTTTTTTTTTTTATCTAAACAATCAGGTACTTAAGGATGGTCGAAATGTACTGGACGGGCTGCTTGTTGTTGAAGTCTTCGATATAACTGATATCCTTTTTCCTGCCTCTAAAACATAAACCCAAGACCTAACCTTACCTGTTTTATTTCGCAAGCTGTATCAGGAAATGGAGGTTCGCCAAGGTCTACCATCAAACGATACTGGATGCTGTTGCAGTCCTTGATAATATACGTCTCTGATTTAGACTTATCAACTGTTGAACACGCCACATCAAGAAAAAAACTAGAAAGTGAAGTTAGCACTGATAGTAACAGAGCAGAATCTGTGCTGACCACCATCTCCAATACTTTGACCGACTTATAATTTCTGGGGATTCCTGTGTATGGAAGGTAGTCTTGTTCAGTCAAGAGTGTCACAACACCTGTTCGATGATTACTCCGCGAAAAATAAAACACCGGTAAATTTCTTGTTGAAGAGTGTGCCTCTATTGATGATGAAAGTCGTGGAACAAAATCGTGTAGTGATGCTTACAGCTGTTAGAGGCGCATGTCTAGTGTTGAATAAAGAGTTCTGACCGATGCATTGCATGGAAAACACCAGTACTTGAACGAGACGATGAAGAAAACAACTCGGTCTTCGGGCATACCTTCAAGGGCTTTTTGACACAATAATAATAATAATAATAATAATAATAATAATAATAATAATAATAATAATAACAATAATAATAATAATAATAATAATAATAATAATAATAATAATAATAATAATAATAATAACAATAATAATAATAATAATAATAATAATAATAATAATAATAATAATAATAATAATAATAACAATAATAATAATAATAATAATAATAATAATAATAATAATAATAATAATAATAATAATAAAAATAATAATAATAATAATAATAATAATAATAATAATAATAATAATAATAATAATAATAAGAATAATAATAATAATAATAATAATAATAATAATAATAATAATAATAATAATAATAATAAGAATAATAATAATAATAATAATAATAATAATAATAATAATAATAATAATAATAATAATAAGAATAATAATAATAATAATAATAATAATAATAATAATAATAATAATAATAATAATAATAACAATAATAATAATAATAATAATAATAATAATAATAATAATAATAATAATAATAATAATAATAATAATAATAATAATAATAATAATAATAATAATAATAATAATAATAATAATAATAATAATAATAATAATAATAATAATAATAATAATAATAATAATAATAATAATAATAATAATAATAAAAATAATAATAATAATAATAATAATAATAATAATAATAATAATAATAATAATAATAATAATAATAATAATAATAATAATAATAATAATAATAATAATAATAATAATAATAATAATAATAAGAATAATAATAATAATAATAATAATAATAATAATAATAATAATAATAATAATAATAATAAAAATAATAATAATAATAATAATAATAATAATAATAATAATAATAATAATAATAATAATAATAATAATAATAATAATAATAATAATAATAATAATAATAATAATAATAATAATAATAATAATAATAATAATAATAATAATAATAATAATAATAATAATAATAATAATAATAATAATAATAATAATAATAATAATAATAATAATAATAATAATAATAATAATAATAATAATAATAATAATAAGAATAATAATAATAATAATAATAATAATAATAATAATAATAATAATAATAATAATAATAATAATAATAATAATAATAATAATAATAATAATAATAATAATAATAATAATAATAATAATAACAATAATAATAATAATAATAATAATAATAATAATAATAATAATAATAATAATAATAATAAAAATAATAATAATAATAATAATAATAATAATAATAATAATAATAATAATAATAATAATAATAATAATAATAATAATAATAATAATAATAATAATAATAATAATAATAATAATAATAATAAAAATAATAATAATAATAATAATAATAATAATAATAATAATAATAATAATAATAATAATAAAAATAATAATAATAATAATAATAATAATAATAATAATAATAATAATAATAATAATAATAAAAATAATAATAATAATAATAATAATAATAATAATAATAATAATAATAATAATAATAATAACAATAATAATAATAATAATAATAATAATAATAATAATAATAATAATAATAATAATAATAAAAATAATAATAATAATAATAATAATAATAATAATAATAATAATAATAATAATAATAATAATAATAATAATAATAATAATAATAATAATAATAATAATAATAATAATAATAATAATAATAACAATAATAATAATAATAATAATAATAATAATAATAATAATAATAATAATAATAATAATAAAAATAATAATAATAATAATAATAATAATAATAATAATAATAATAATAATAATAATAATAATAATAATAATAATAATAATAATAATAATAATAATAATAATAATAATAATAATAATAATAAGAATAATAATAATAATAATAATAATAATAATAATAATAATAATAATAATAATAATAATAATAATAATAATAATAATAATAATAATAATAATAATAATAATAATAATAATAATAATAATAAGAATAATAATAATAATAATAATAATAATAATAATAATAATAATAATAATAATAATAATAATAATAATAATAATAATAATAATAATAATAATAATAATAATAATAATAATAATAATAATAAAAATAATAATAATAATAATAATAATAATAATAATAATAATAATAATAATAATAATAATAACAATAATAATAATAATAATAATAATAATAATAATAATAATAATAATAATAATAATAATAACAATAATAATAATAATAATAATAATAATAATAATAATAATAATAATAATAATAATAATAATAATAATAATAATAATAATAATAATAATAATAATAATAATAATAATAATAATAATAATAAAAATAATAATAATAATAATAATAATAATAATAATAATAATAATAATAATAATAATAATAAAAATAATAATAATAATAATAATAATAATAATAATAATAATAATAATAATAATAATAATAATAATAATAATAATAATAATAATAATAATAATAATAATAATAATAATAATAATAATAATAACAATAATAATAATAATAATAATAATAATAATAATAATAATAATAATAATAATAATAATAAAAATAATAATAATAATAATAATAATAATAATAATAATAATAATAATAATAATAATAATAAAAATAATAATAATAATAATAATAATAATAATAATAATAATAATAATAATAATAATAATAAAAATAATAATAATAATAATAATAATAATAATAATAATAATAATAATAATAATAATAATAATAATAATAATAATAATAATAATAATAATAATAATAATAATAATAATAATAATAATAATAAAAATAATAATAATAATAATAATAATAATAATAATAATAATAATAATAATAATAATAATAATAATAATAATAATAATAATAATAATAATAATAATAATAATAATAATAATAATAATAATAAAAATAATAATAATAATAATAATAATAATAATAATAATAATAATAATAATAATAATAATAAGAATAATAATAATAATAATAATAATAATAATAATAATAATAATAATAATAATAATAATAACAATAATAATAATAATAATAATAATAATAATAATAATAATAATAATAATAATAATAATAATAATAATAATAATAATAATAATAATAATAATAATAATAATAATAATAATAATAATAATAAAAATAATAATAATAATAATAATAATAATAATAATAATAATAATAATAATAATAATAATAACAATAATAATAATAATAATAATAATAATAATAATAATAATAATAATAATAATAATAATAACAATAATAATAATAATAATAATAATAATAATAATAATAATAATAATAATAATAATAATAATAATAATAATAATAATAATAATAATAATAATAATAATAATAATAATAATAATAATAATAAAAATAATAATAATAATAATAATAATAATAATAATAATAATAATAATAATAATAATAATAAGAATAATAATAATAATAATAATAATAATAATAATAATAATAATAATAATAATAATAATAACAATAATAATAATAATAATAATAATAATAATAATAATAATAATAATAATAATAATAATAAAAATAATAATAATAATAATAATAATAATAATAATAATAATAATAATAATAATAATAATAACAATAATAATAATAATAATAATAATAATAATAATAATAATAATAATAATAATAATAATAATAATAATAATAATAATAATAATAATAATAATAATAATAATAATAATAATAATAATAATAATAATAATAATAATAATAATAATAATAATAATAATAATAATAATAATAATAATAATAATAAAAATAATAATAATAATAATAATAATAATAATAATAATAATAATAATAATAATAATAATAAAAATAATAATAATAATAATAATAATAATAATAATAATAATAATAATAATAATAATAATAAGAATAATAATAATAATAATAATAATAATAATAATAATAATAATAATAATAATAATAATAAAAATAATAATAATAATAATAATAATAATAATAATAATAATAATAATAATAATAATAATAATAATAATAATAATAATAATAATAATAATAATAATAATAATAATAATAATAATAATAATAAGAATAATAATAATAATAATAATAATAATAATAATAATAATAATAATAATAATAATAATAAAAATAATAATAATAATAATAATAATAATAATAATAATAATAATAATAATAATAATAATAAGAATAATAATAATAATAATAATAATAATAATAATAATAATAATAATAATAATAATAATAAAAATAATAATAATAATAATAATAATAATAATAATAATAATAATAATAATAATAATAATAATAATAATAATAATAATAATAATAATAATAATAATAATAATAATAATAATAATAATAATAACAATAATAATAATAATAATAATAATAATAATAATAATAATAATAATAATAATAATAATAAAAATAATAATAATAATAATAATAATAATAATAATAATAATAATAATAATAATAATAATAAAAATAATAATAATAATAATAATAATAATAATAATAATAATAATAATAATAATAATAATAAGAATAATAATAATAATAATAATAATAATAATAATAATAATAATAATAATAATAATAATAAAAATAATAATAATAATAATAATAATAATAATAATAATAATAATAATAATAATAATAATAAAAATAATAATAATAATAATAATAATAATAATAATAATAATAATAATAATAATAATAATAACAATAATAATAATAATAATAATAATAATAATAATAATAATAATAATAATAATAATAATAATAATAATAATAATAATAATAATAATAATAATAATAATAATAATAATAATAATAATAATAACAATAATAATAATAATAATAATAATAATAATAATAATAATAATAATAATAATAATAATAAGAATAATAATAATAATAATAATAATAATAATAATAATAATAATAATAATAATAATAATAAGAATAATAATAATAATAATAATAATAATAATAATAATAATAATAATAATAATAATAATAAAAATAATAATAATAATAATAATAATAATAATAATAATAATAATAATAATAATAATAATAAGAATAATAATAATAATAATAATAATAATAATAATAATAATAATAATAATAATAATAATAAAAATAATAATAATAATAATAATAATAATAATAATAATAATAATAATAATAATAATAATAATAATAATAATAATAATAATAATAATAATAATAATAATAATAATAATAATAATAATAATAAAAATAATAATAATAATAATAATAATAATAATAATAATAATAATAATAATAATAATAATAAAAATAATAATAATAATAATAATAATAATAATAATAATAATAATAATAATAATAATAATAAGAATAATAATAATAATAATAATAATAATAATAATAATAATAATAATAATAATAATAATAACAATAATAATAATAATAATAATAATAATAATAATAATAATAATAATAATAATAATAATAAGAATAATAATAATAATAATAATAATAATAATAATAATAATAATAATAATAATAATAATAAAAATAATAATAATAATAATAATAATAATAATAATAATAATAATAATAATAATAATAATAATAATAATAATAATAATAATAATAATAATAATAATAATAATAATAATAATAATAATAATAAGAATAATAATAATAATAATAATAATAATAATAATAATAATAATAATAATAATAATAATAACAATAATAATAATAATAATAATAATAATAATAATAATAATAATAATAATAATAATAATAATAATAATAATAATAATAATAATAATAATAATAATAATAATAATAATAATAATAATAATAATAATAATAATAATAATAATAATAATAATAATAATAATAATAATAATAATAATAATAATAAGAATAATAATAATAATAATAATAATAATAATAATAATAATAATAATAATAATAATAATAAAAATAATAATAATAATAATAATAATAATAATAATAATAATAATAATAATAATAATAATAATAATAATAATAATAATAATAATAATAATAATAATAATAATAATAATAATAATAATAATAATAATAATAATAATAATAATAATAATAATAATAATAATAATAATAATAATAATAATAATAAAAATAATAATAATAATAATAATAATAATAATAATAATAATAATAATAATAATAATAATAATAATAATAATAATAATAATAATAATAATAATAATAATAATAATAATAATAATAATAATAATAATAATAATAATAATAATAATAATAATAATAATAATAATAATAATAATAATAATAATAAAAATAATAATAATAATAATAATAATAATAATAATAATAATAATAATAATAATAATAATAAGAATAATAATAATAATAATAATAATAATAATAATAATAATAATAATAATAATAATAATAACAATAATAATAATAATAATAATAATAATAATAATAATAATAATAATAATAATAATAATAAGAATAATAATAATAATAATAATAATAATAATAATAATAATAATAATAATAATAATAATAATAATAATAATAATAATAATAATAATAATAATAATAATAATAATAATAATAATAATAATAAAAATAATAATAATAATAATAATAATAATAATAATAATAATAATAATAATAATAATAATAAGAATAATAATAATAATAATAATAATAATAATAATAATAATAATAATAATAATAATAATAAAAATAATAATAATAATAATAATAATAATAATAATAATAATAATAATAATAATAATAATAATAATAATAATAATAATAATAATAATAATAATAATAATAATAATAATAATAATAATAATAACAATAATAATAATAATAATAATAATAATAATAATAATAATAATAATAATAATAATAATAAAAATAATAATAATAATAATAATAATAATAATAATAATAATAATAATAATAATAATAATAAAAATAATAATAATAATAATAATAATAATAATAATAATAATAATAATAATAATAATAATAAGAATAATAATAATAATAATAATAATAATAATAATAATAATAATAATAATAATAATAATAACAATAATAATAATAATAATAATAATAATAATAATAATAATAATAATAATAATAATAATAAGAATAATAATAATAATAATAATAATAATAATAATAATAATAATAATAATAATAATAATAAGAATAATAATAATAATAATAATAATAATAATAATAATAATAATAATAATAATAATAATAAGAATAATAATAATAATAATAATAATAATAATAATAATAATAATAATAATAATAATAATAAGAATAATAATAATAATAATAATAATAATAATAATAATAATAATAATAATAATAATAATAAGAATAATAATAATAATAATAATAATAATAATAATAATAATAATAATAATAATAATAATAATAATAATAATAATAATAATAATAATAATAATAATAATAATAATAATAATAATAATAATAAAAATAATAATAATAATAATAATAATAATAATAATAATAATAATAATAATAATAATAATAATAATAATAATAATAATAATAATAATAATAATAATAATAATAATAATAATAATAATAATAAAAATAATAATAATAATAATAATAATAATAATAATAATAATAATAATAATAATAATAATAATAATAATAATAATAATAATAATAATAATAATAATAATAATAATAATAATAATAATAATAACAATAATAATAATAATAATAATAATAATAATAATAATAATAATAATAATAATAATAATAAGAATAATAATAATAATAATAATAATAATAATAATAATAATAATAATAATAATAATAATAAAAATAATAATAATAATAATAATAATAATAATAATAATAATAATAATAATAATAATAATAAAAATAATAATAATAATAATAATAATAATAATAATAATAATAATAATAATAATAATAATAAAAATAATAATAATAATAATAATAATAATAATAATAATAATAATAATAATAATAATAATAATAATAATAATG